AGCCACCTCTCAGCTCTCTTGGGAGAGATGTGAAGCCCAACTCTAAGGCCAAACTTCCCAGCCCTTGTCGTGCCAGGAGGTCTGGATTTGACCAGCCTAAAAATTCAACTCCGGTCGCCCGTCAAGTCGGGGCATGGTTGTATTCGGGCCACAGCGTTGCGGTTCTGATCTGCCTCTAGTTTGGTTGTACGGTGAAAGTTATACAGCCCTTGCTACGCTAGGTAATCGTTTGCATCCTTGTAGTAACGAAGCCCTCAAGGTGAATTATGCGCAGACGCACGTGCACGCAGTGTGTAAACACAGCTTCAGAGTAACTTCAGCAAAGAAGACTGCAGCTCTTTAAAACAGCATCTTCCAGACCGATAACCCAGCAGGGTAAAATAAATCTTCTGGAGTTAATGGAAAACACCTGATGCCAGTGCTAATTTCCAGTGTGCTGTTTTGGCTGGGAAGCTGAGATGAATAGTCACATTTCTTAACAGGCTTCTCTTCCAGAGAGTTGAGATTTGTAGGCCAGGCCACATCCAGGTGAACTGAGCCTCTTGCTGTGACAAAATGCAGCCCCCCACCCCCACCTCGACCCCAATTTTTAATCAAACACTCTTTAGCTGCAGCGTTTTTGTACGGGAACTTCATTTCCTTGGTGCAACATCAAGGGAAGGGATTTTCTGCCACGGATCAGAATCTGGCCCTGGCTATTGATTTTTCAGCGTCACTTAAGTGCTGTTTCCGGCGATGCAGCAGTCTCAGATAGCAAATGTGCTAAAGACTGCCTGCAAAGCAAATGCCCACCTCAGTCTGGGGGCACGCTTGGCTGTTCTGCCTCGCATGAAGACAACCCCCTATCCCCCCAGCCACTGGGTTTGGGCTCCTGTCTTTAGCTTGGTGACCAAGCTCCTCTATTTTACGGCATGGGACTCTCTTCTTTGCTACCTGTTGGCTGTGCATGCTTGTCCCTGGTACGGGAACGAGCACAAACCAAGGATTTCTTTGCTTTGGGGGCTCTGTAGGCAGGATGCTGGGATGAAAACAGCTTTGCAGCACTGCATGGAGGAGGAAGGACAGATGTGAGTGGGGACATCTTGAGAATAAGTGCTCAAAGCTGGCTGTAGCATGTGTGTAGGGGGAGAGGAGGGCAGGGGAGGTCGGCTGTGCAGCTGCCATGCCTCTGCTTGATTTGGGTTAAGTTTTGGAAGCCCTTTCGGGCTTGAACAACTGCTCCAGTGAGTGGGGGGCTGAAGGTGCCTCTGCAAATGCTCCCTTAAGCCGCCCCAGGGAGGTCATGGATTCAGGGCTAGCTCATGCTTGCTCCATTGTAGCTGGGTCCCCAGCTGCTGTAAGTGGGTATGCCTGCTGGGAAGTCAAAGGCACCATGCCCATTTACACCCCTTGAGCACCAGGCCCCTATCGGGCAAATCCAGCCGTGGTGCAAGGCTGGATGAATTGCATCTATGGTTGCTCCAGTTGCGCTGCCTGGCCCGCCGTGCGCCGCGCTGCATCGGCGCCCAGCCCTCCTTGCTTTCGGACTCCCGTTCGCTAGCGGTGTGTGACCTGCCGTCTTGTGTGTCAGCCGCAGGGTGTGCTCCACGGTGACGCAGAGCCAGACCGTGTCATACCTGGAGTCCCATGTCCAGCCGGTCTACCAGCCGTACCTTACCACGTGCCAGGGACACCGCGTGTGCAGCACGTACAGGTGAGGCAGACAGCGCCACGGGTGGGACGCTGCCAGGACGCCCCGCCTGCGAGCTGCACGCACCCAGCGCCGCGGCTTCTCCTGTCCTGCGGGGACGTCGCGAAGGGATCGTGCCCTGGGTTTTACAGGGCGGCACAGAGGATGAAGCAGGGGGGGAGGCCAAGACAGCAGGTCGAGGGAAGTGATAATTTCCCTCTATTCAGTACTGATGAGGCCACATCTGGCTGTGGGCCCCCCCCCACTACAGAAAGGATGTGGACAAATTGGAGAGAGTCCAGCGGAGGGCAACACAAATGGTTCAGGGGCTGGGGCACACGACTTTTGAAGAGAGGCTGAGGGAACTGGGCTGATTTAGTCTGGAGAAGAGAGGACTGCAGCCACCCTGCAGGGAGCTGAAGGCTGCTATTGAATCTCCTCTCAAAGAGGATGGAGCTGGGCTGGTCTCAGTGGGGACAGATGACAGGACAAGGAGCAACGGGCTCAACTTGCAGCAGGGGAAGTCGAGGCTGGATATTCGGAAAAGCTCTCTCAGGAGAAGTGTAAAGCACTGGGACAGGCTACCCAGAGAGGTGGGGGACTCTCCGTCCTTGGAGGTGTTTAAGACCCAGGCAGACGAAGCCTTGGCTGGGATGATGTAGTTGGGGCTGGTCCTGCTTGGAGCAGGGGGTTGGACTGGATGTGACCTCCTGAGCTCCCTTCAGCCCTCCTTGTGTATGAGTCTATGACAGACTTACCTGGATTTTAGGTCTGAGCTTTGCTTTGCCCCTGAGTGAAGCAGAGAGGGTGTGCAGTGGGCTTCTCCAGGGGGTTGGGCTCCTGCTCCACGTGCAGTGCCCACTGCTAACACTTTCCCTGACTTCCCTTGCAGAACCATATACAAGGTTGCCCACCGCCAGGCATTCAAGAAGTACTCCCAGCCCATGTACACGTGCTGTCCAGGCTGGAGAAGGGCAAGCGGCCATGCAGCCAGCTGCAACACAGGTAAATGCATGGCAGAGCGGGTGGAACAGGCACTGCGGGAGGTGCAGGTCCCCAGCATCGCTCTTCGGGGCGGCTCCCCACCTGGGGCCGGGCCAAGCCTCAGGGGTGCACGCTGCAATGAAGACAGGGCCTGCTCTGCTCTGCTCTGCTCTACAGGCGCGTCTCCATGATGTGCGCATCCTCTGCAGCTCAGGGGTGACCCCACGAGAGGTTGGATGTCTCCTGCTCTCAGCTTCTGCTGCCATTTGGCCACTGATATCATCTTTCAGGAGCTCAGCAGCCCCCAGGATCAGGCCTGGCACATGCCTGCACAGGCTGCTCTGTCCGTACCCTTATCGACAAGGGCGCTTTTGGAAGCCGGTGCAATTTTGTCCGTACCGAGGCACTTCCTTTTTCTTTTTTGCAAGAGCAAATCCATTTCAGTTAGCAGTTTGGTTATAGCCTCGCCATGCTGTTCAGCATGCCTGCCTTGTGCATCGTACCAGAGGGTAAATAAAACTAATGAATCCCTTCCACATAAATGAGCAGCGATGGCAGTGCTCTGCTTTGCGGAGCAAATGGCAGCGTGCGGCACAAAACGAATGCAAAATGCACCAGGCGCTCCTCTCTCAGCACATCCAGGCAGACTGCAGCCAGGCCTGGCACCGAGTGAGAGCTGATGATAGCAAAAGCCCCCTCCTCCCCTGCCTCTGCAGCTGACTGTAAAGACACCTGCCTCTTCCCAGCGCTGCACAAGCGAACAGGACGGGGTGCTGGTTGTAGCCGTGTCGGTTGAAAGACATTGGCAGACCAGGTTCTTTGGGTAGATGTGATCTCTTTTATTAGACCAGCTAAATAGTAGGGAAAATGATTCTTTGCAAGCTTTCAGGTGCAAAAACAAAAAGCCAGGATGGGTTGAGCCACAAATGAGAGACTGTTGATTTCCCTTGGCGCGTCTCCGTGCAGAAGCCTCCTAGACACTGCCTCAGTGCTAGTAAACCTACCAGCCTAAATCTGTTGCTTCCCTTGAGGCTCAGGACTTGCTAGAAAGCTGTCTGAACATCGAGCTGCTAGGAGGCTGAGTCCTGTTGCTGGTTTGCCAGAGGATCTCTGGCCAGCCCTGTCGCCAGCCCGTGAGCCTCTTACTTCTGGGCAAAGGCAGCCTGCTGCTCCCTGAGGGTGGCAGGGATTCACCCTCATTGCAAAACGTCCTGACCTGTGCAGCACATCCTGGGGCTCTCATCCATCTCGCTAGATGTTCCACATCTGGATGAGAGCTGTGTGCGCGGGTCACATGTGTTCACGCTGTGCTGGAAACCAGCATAGGATCATAGGAAATGAGGGTGGAAGGGACCCCAGGAGGTCACATCGAGTCCAACCTGGGGCTCGATGTGCCCCAGGACCAGCCCCAGCTACATCATCCCAGCCAAGGCTTTGTCTACCTGGGTCTTAAAAACCTCCAAGGATGGATATGCCACCACCTCTCTAGATAGCCTGTCCCAGTGCTTCACCGCCCTCCTAATGAGAGAGGTTTTCCTAACACCCAACCTCAACTTCCCTGGCTGCAGCTTGAGCCCATTGCTCTTTGTTCGGTGATCTGCCATCCGAGAACAGTTCAGCTCCGGGGATGGGTTTGCATTCATAGGCGAGGCTACCATTAAGGTTCATTTGCACCCACTAGGACTTCGCCCACATTTTTGGGTGCCACCAACATGTTCCAAAAGCCTACGGTTGCCTAGGGACGTTGCACACCCGGCAGGTGGGGAAAGCTCCCATGTGCGCGTAATAAAAGAGCCCAGAGGGGCTCTGCGTCTGTCCATGTGGCGGGATACCCGGGCAGCCCCCAAGTGACCTAGTAACCCTATATTCTCATTTCACAGCTGTTTGTAGGGCGCCGTGCCAGAATGGCGGGAGATGCTCCTTTCCGGACAGATGTGCCTGCCCTCGGGGGTGGACGGGAAGAGCCTGCCAGACAGGTAGCAGCTACAAGCCTCTCAGTTTCCTCATCTGAGTAGGGGCCGAGGATGGCAGCGTGCAGGTAGCAGGGGTTTCATAGCAGGGGATTGGCATTAACTATCCATGCATGTAGACCTAATGCCTTCCTCTGCCGGTATGAACCAACACAGCTGCAGGTGAACCCATTTACACCAGCTGCCCGTCTGGCCCCAGCTTCATACCTGAATATGAAGGTATTTATACCCTGGGCCTAAATCCCTGCTTGCACAGGGATGGATGGTCCTTTCACACCAGTGATGTCCCTGCTTGCTCCTGATTTACATCAGCTTGAGAAGGCAGCGGGCTATAAAAACCGCTGCTAGTGGGATGAGTGTGGGCAGCCCCGGGTCTGTGCGCGTGTAGCCGAACGGCTCTGGGTGAGGCAGGCCTTGCTGTGAGCTTCAGTGTCAGCCTTGGTCCCAGCACAGGGCTTTGAACTGATTTTCCCATTGCCTAAAGCAGCTTCTCCCGGGCGTGGGAAGCAGTTAGTCATTTGCCTTTGTGGGAACAGCTTTAATAACTCCCCCGTGCCAGGAGGGGTTACTGGGTTTTATACACACTCCGGAGGCTGATAGAGCCTCGTCGAGGAGGAACCAAAACCCTGAACGCAAATCCGGGATCAGAGCTAGTGACCTGAACAGCTTGTTACAGCAGGCGGAGAGCGAGTGCCCCGTCCAGAGCACGGGTCCAGATCTGGACTTTCGTTTGCTTGGAGTCTGTGCTTCTGCCCTTGTGTGATGCCTCTGGACCTCATTCACCCCTGTTGTTAATCCGGTTTCACCTGGGGTAGGGTCAGCGGAGTGAAAGTGGAGTAATGCAGCGGTTTGCTATGTCCGTGAAGTTTGGACCCTCCAGTGGGCTGGAGGGGAGCAGAGGTTGGCTGCACTGACGATGAGGAAGGAGGCTGCTTGTGAGCTGCTGGGTGTGGACTAATGCCGTGGGTCTCTGGTTTCATAGCTCAGGGCGGCCTGTGCTGCGTAGTGTCACCACGGATGGTCTCCCCAAACTGTGACCTGGGGTGAGCAGTCACAGAAGGGGCTGCTGACCGCATACCACAGCTCTAGGCTTTTGGTGGGGCCCCGTCCATAACCCTCCTGCGAGCGATGGTGCATGCCAGCGGCTTGTCAGCTAAAAGGGCACAGATCTGCAGTGCTCTGTAAATGCATGTCTCATGAAGGGTCCTGCTGGTATAAACCCCCCTGACCGCTCTGAACTCCCACCTCTGCCTGCAGACATGGACGAGTGCTCCGGCCAGGGTCACGGCTGCGGCCAGCGCTGCGTGAACACGCCTGGGAGTTACCGCTGCGCCTGTCACGAGGGGCATCAGCTCTCTGCAGACGGAAAATCATGCCAGGCTCTGCAGCCAGCTCCAAGGACAGAGGTGTCTGCGCCTCCAGCCCTCAACCGATCCGGTAATGTGCATACAGCCAGATTTGGTTGAAAGTTAAACCAGAGTGCGTGCGAGGCAGTGCGTCCTGTAGGAATGAGAGAGGGGATCGAGAAGCCGGGACTCCTGGGCTTTACTTGCAAATCGTGCTTTGGGCCACCATGCAGCCTGTCTCAGGTTCCCCAGCAATACAGTGAAGATGCCGCCTCTTTGCGTGCCTCAGCTGCCTACCGGGCCCATGCTCCAGCTGGTGGACGTCGCAGGAGCTGAAGCAGCCGTTGCCTTGCCAGCCAACAGATCTGCCACCCAGAATGACTTCTCTCTCCGTGCTCCCTGCAGGCTGAAGCTGGAGGCACGAGGCGCGGCAGGCGATGCTGGTGACGGCCCATTATTACTTTTGGTACGCGCTGTGACACTTCAAACTCGTACCGTGAGTAATAATGCGCTGTGGCTAGCACCGGCGACGGACACAGAAGTGGCACGAGCAGAAGGGGCACACGTGTGCATGCGTGTGTGCATGTGCATGCGTGTGTGCATGTGCGAGTGTGCTCGTCCTCACGCTTTCCTGTCTCTGGAGGTGCAGGAAGGTGAAGGGGCCATGCGTGAGAAGTCTTTCCCGCTGCTCTACATCCCTGCAACTGGACGCTCCTGCAGTGCCCCGCAGTAGCCGTGCGGCCGGTGGGGTGTCAGGGTTTCCCACAGTGTCCATTGGGCAGAGGGTCGAACAGGACGAAGGCCCGTCAGAGAACAACACAGCGCCCTTTCAAAGAGCGCCAGCATCCTGACCAAGTGCTCCGCAGCCTTGAGTGGCCGGTGTTCGTGCTGGGTTGGTTTTGGCTATCAGTCAGTACAGCCCCATTGAAGGCAGTGACGCTACGTGGTGCTATGTTGTACCAGCTGGAGTTTCCTCCCGTTGGCTTGCTACCAGGCTAAGGGATGTCAGGACACGGCCCCAGGCCCTCTCCCTAGGACCACCCCAGGCAGCAGCCGGTGGGTGGTTGGAGGGACTGGGCTTTGCTGAGGCAAAATGAGTGCAACAGCATGAGGACTTCGTGTCCTGAGCTGTCCCTGCATAAGGGACAGCCTGCTGCTTGGCATACCTTGGCAGGCAACGCCGGAGTCGTCTGCTTCCACGCAGGCGCTGCCCGAGTGCACCCCCCAAGCTGCACCGTTGTAAAACCCTGCCAAGGCCAAGACATGAATCATTCCCCAGCAAGCCCACACGCCCCGCAGCCCCTGCCAGGGGACAGCTCTCTGGCATCTGAGCAGCTCGTAGGAAAAGCAAGCTTGCTGCATCTTGGGCTGACGGCCTCTTTTAATTAATTAACCTTGCGCGGAAACCGGTGAGGGTATGCCAGGGCCAAATTAGCATCCATTACGATAGCACTAAACATTCATCTTCTTTCCACTGAGAGCAATGGCAATCTCCATCCCCCCTCCACACGGCTATCTCAGCGCGCTCGGCTTTCGCCGCTGCCTATAGTTTTCTACATGAACTCGTCCGCACCCAGAGACAAAAGGCTGCTTGTATTGGTAACTGGCTGCTGCGGGCCAGTGCCAGAGAGCTGGTTTCTTGGCCAGATGTCAGCATTGTTGAGATGCCTCATGCTATAGGAGCATGGCAAAGACCGGGCGCGTGAGGAAGAAGCACTGCTGCTTGGCCCGTCTGGGTCGGGCGTGAGGATGTGCTGGGATAGAGCAGCTGGGGTAGCTTTATGGGCACTGACAGCTGATTGACACCAGTTAGGGGCTGGCCTGCCGCGTGCTCAGGTCCAGCTGTTCTCACTGAGCTGCCAGCTGTGCCCGAATCCGCTCTGGACCTCGGTGGCTGGCGTCGGCAGTGCCCGACACGCAGAAGAGAGCCGTGTCTACCACGCCTTGGCAAGCGTCTGAAAGCAGGCATCCCAACCCCTGGCCCAGGAAACCCACACCGCAGATGCCTACGGCGGCAGGCTGCCAAAACGAGGGCGGGTTAATGAGCGTGCCCAGCAGCGAGGCAGCGAAGAGCCGTGGCCGGGTGCTCATCCACAGGACGGGGCTTTCCCTTCGTTGAGTGACTGCTGCATCCCCTTTGCAAGGCCCTTTTAGCTGCTTGGAGATGCTTGTTCTTTATGGAGGGGGGAGGAGAGCAATGCATGGGTGCAGGTGGGATGCTGCCCTTGTGCTGCCTGGTTAGGCCTGGGGCTGGCGAGGTGCCCGCTGCCCTCGGGCACATTCCTGTCCTCAGCCAACACGTCAGGGCTTGGCAGCCCCCACAGCAGAGAACAGGCCTCCCATTCTCCCCCATGCAACCAGGCCTCCGTGTTAACCCTTCATCAGCGCCTGTCCCCACCCCGCCCCGCCGTCCTATGCTAAGTATGATAATCACAGGCTGATTTGAGTGCACAAGGGATCACTTTATTTGCTCCCTGACTGGCGCTTTGCTTTGCGCTGCTTCCTTACAGGAGGTGCCTCCGGCGAAGTGAAGGAAGAAATGAAAGCTTTGAGGAGCAGGATGGACGTGCTGGAGCAGGTGAGCACGGCTGAGGCAGGGCAGGGATGCACTTGCCCCTTTAGCATCCCCTGGCCAGCCTGACCAAGTCCAAATTAGGCCGGAGTCCACATGTGCATCTCAGGGCTGCTCCCTTCTCTGTTTTTTTAATGTCTCTGCTTAATGTCCTCGCTCTCGCCTTGCGCCTGGAGCTGACAGCACATGGGTGGTGGAGAGCAAAGGGCCAGCTCCCCCCATCACAAGGCCAGTGAGGTGCCCCTCTGCGAGCCTGCTGGCCTCGGGAGGACGGAGGGGCTGGGTGGGCTGCACGCGGGCTCTCCGTGGGTGGTCTGCGTGCAACAGAGAAGGACAGAAACTGAGCAGCTCCTTTCCTCTCTCTAAAGAAACTGCAGTTAGTGCTGGCTCCCTTCCATCACTTTGTGCCAGCTGGGCTGGATGATGTCAGCCCGGACCCCATCACCGCCCTGTCCCACTCCCTGCGGCAGCTGGACAGGATAGACTCCCTGAGCGAGCAGATCTCTTTCCTGGAGGAGCGCCTCGAGACATGTGAGTGGCAAGAACAGTGTCGAGGCGAGGCTTTCCATTGCAGGTTATTGCCGTACTCTAGCCCGTTTGCTCTAGGAATGGGATCCCGGAGGGCACGTGCCTTCCTGGCTGTTTTTCAGCTCCAGATGCATCCCCAAGTAGGGCAGGACAAGGTGCTACCAGTGACCCTGCAGGGCTTTGTGCAGCATGGGAAAACAGCTGGGTCACTGCAAAGAGCGTTGCCTGCTCCGCTAGCTCGCCGCACGCTGCTCCCATTAGCCCTCCCATCACGCCTGCGTGGCGGAGGGTCAGCGACATGCTGATTGCCACGTGGGGGCTTTATTACTCTTTCAAAATGCCCATTTAAGGCACAACGAGCAGGTAATTCCTGCTCTGCAAGGGTGGAGCAGAGGAGAAAGGCAGATTTAACTGAGGAAATGCAGATCAGTGGCACAGACATCAACTTCTAGCTCCAAACCGTGGGCCGTGACGTAACACAGGATGCTGTGTGTGTGGGTGCACAGTCTAATCTGCCTCGTAACCTTCCAAAAACCATCTGTGGGCAGCAAGGACTGACCCAGACCACCTCAAGACATGGCAGTGGAGGGCACATGGGCTTCTTCAAGACAAGTGCTCAGTCCTGGTCAGGTAGTCATGAATTTTGCAGGGGACACTTACAGGCTAAAGAGCAGAACTACCCTGATGGGACTTCATTATCAAGCTTTGCATAGGCATTCTCAATGGGACCACAAGGGACCACAACCCAGATCCTTAGGTACCAAAGAGATGCTTTGCAGATCAGACTACAGCATCGAGATCTGCCCAGCCTGCCTCTTCCAGGCCTTGCTGGTCTCCTCTGGGCTGCTTCGTGTCTGAGAAGGTCATGAGCATAGCTGGATAGACACGTGGTTGTCCGTGCCCCTGGGAATGCTTTTTCTCCTGCAGTCCAGTGGTTGTGGGGTCTGGTCCCTTTCTGTAAGGCCACTTTATCCAGTTAGCTAATGTCAAACATGATGGATGGACAAGACCTGACTGCTGCAGCTGAACATCCAGAGTTTGCCCTTCTCTTTGAAGGTGGATGATCAAGGTCCCTTCTGCGCCATGTCATCTTGGTCCTGTGACTGTTGCAGTCGTGGTTGTCCACGTGGCCAGGGGGACGTCCAGCACAGGGAGCTTGCTTCTGGGAAGCCTGTCCCCAGGGAGTGCACAGGCTAGGCTGTGCTCCCGGGTTTATTTCTGTTATTGTAGCTAATGTCTGTCTCATGTGAAATGTGTACGCCATCCTGGGAAGAGGATGCACAGCCAAAACTCCCTCCCCACCCCCGCGACTGCCCTTCCCTCTTGCATTTTCAAGCCAAGCCCCAGTTGAAAGCTGTCCTTCTTGCCCTCGTGGCTGACCGGGTCTCCAGCAAGAGTCACAGAGCCAAGACGGGAGCAAGCGAGAGGGAGAGGCACTCGATGGCCCGCTGCGGGGGCTGTTTTTCTAGGAGATGGGCTCCCAAGGACAGCTTCAAATGCATCCAAAGCCAGAGCCCACGTGCTGGAGGAATGTCGCAGATCAGACTCCAGCATGAGTTTGGGCCTGTTGTTTTAAACACACAGCTTTAACAGCAGCACAGCACCGGTGTGGGAGCAAGAGCACCAGGTAGCGTGGAGCATTTCCAAGTTACAGCTCCAAAGTCCATGCACGTAGCTAGAGCTCGGGCCATGCCGCTCTGGTGCACTTTCCCTTTCCAAAGGCCAGCGCTGACAACTGGAAAGGGAGATTAAACCCAGCTCTCTGCATTTGGGCAGAGCTAATGATGAGACCCAACACCACCCTGAGTGAGAAAGCAGAGCATCCCTGCTGGGCTCAGCATAACTCCATATGCCTTCCTTTTTATTTATTTTTTTTGACTTTGGGATTTTCCCAGGCTGTTTTGCTTTGCGAGTGTGGTTCGGACTGTGTCGGCAACCGCGTACCCCCTCCTCCCCAGTGCAGGCTTGGGCGAGTAGCTGCTAGGGTTAGTGTGCCTTGCTGTAACAAGGAGACTCTCTTGTTGTAGCTGGCAGGCAAAACAGCACTAAAAGAGAGACTGATTATTTTTTGAGCTGCTCCACATGCAGCTAAATTGAATCCCTTTAGGGGGGCGGGTAACAACAGGTGGAGTTTTAGCTTTAAGCAGCGGGCTGCCGTGTGAGTAAATGACTCCGAAACGATTTGCCCAAACCCGGCTTTAGCCTCTAAGTCCTGTCAGTTTGATTTGGGCTCGAGCGCCTCCCGCCCGCGCTCGTTGCCATCAAACGGCGTTGCGTCTCGTTAGCAAGACGAGCGATGGCTCACGTCTGCACGGCCTCTGCATTTTCCATTTGGCGTCCGTGCAGACGCCCCCCTCCGGAGCGCTGCCACTGCCACAAAGCTGCTCCTCCCAACTCGCGTTCACGACCATGAAAAGGAAGCGCTGTTCAGGCTGGCCGCGGCTGCTTTCGGCTCCGAACCGGCTAGCTATGACATAGACCTCGGAGGAATCTCCAACCCTCGCAGCCCGGCAATGGCTGCTTTCAGTCCCTAGCTGCTCAGCTATTATGTAGACCTCAAAGGAATCCACGACCCGCCAGCAGGACCGAGCGAGATAGAAAGCTCTCTGTCAGCTCGGCAGCTCGCGGCGACCTGGCTTGCTATGCAAGGGGCAAAGGTTTGGTGACATACTGAAAAAATGGAGATAGCGAGTACAAGAGCAGCAGTTTTGGACTGACGTCAGATCTCTTGAAAGAGAGGGGGGGAAAAAAGAAAAATCCCAGTTGCTCTAGGGCAGCTAGACGCAGCTGGGCCACTGCAACGAGGCCCAAACCGGATCACTATCGTGGCTTTGAAATGTGCTCGCTCACTGGGTATCATCACCCTCCCGCAAGCCAGAGCATGTAGGAGCAGAGAGGGTCGCTGACTGCCTCCCTATTGCTACCTGCCCCCCGGCTCTTGCCCCAGCAGAGCCGAGGTCTGCCCTCGTTTGCAGAAAGCAGACAGTAGAGTCTGGTTCACATAGCCGGTCTGCACCTTCCCCAAGCTATTGCATTAGCATCAGCGAACTGGCGCTGAGCAACTTGTTCGCACACAGCGATGACGCTAGCTTCACTACGCTGCTGCAGCCACAGCAGGAGCGTGGTCAGTTAGACCCATTTCTCAACCAGTGGGACTTTACAACTATAGCAACAAATCTTATTCTCGACAAAATTATTGCCCTTTTAAATTTTTCATGTCCTTAAAAGTCTCCCTTAATGACTCATATAATACTAAAATGCACATAAACTTCAGAATACACTTCGTGGGAAAAGTGAGGTTTTGTTTTTATCATGGTGGGACCAGGGTTTTTTGACAAAATGGTTGGTGGGATGTAAGGTGCCAAAGGTTGAGAGACGCTGAATTAGACCCATATGCACGCACTTAAAAAGCAAGGACATGGCATCCTATTTCCTTTTGTGCATAAGCTAGCCCAGGATGAAGCTACCGCTGCCAGACAATGGGTAGGAGCAGCGCAAGCTGCTCCAGGAGAACTGGCAGGGAGCAACGACAAGGGGGTGAGCGTGGAAGCCAGGA